TAGATTGTCCGATACACGACCGGGGTCAACTCCATTCAACTCGACTCTCGGAATCATTGTCTGCTGTCGACTCGTTTTCCATCTACAAACGACATTTCTTCCGCAAAATTTACATTACCTGACCCAAACTGGGCCAGTTTTCTAACTGGACATTGTTCATCCAAGCCGCGCTTACCGTGTTATCTTGAATACCCTGTCATTGATCCGAATCAGCATGGCGATAATTCTGGATCTTGGCGTTATGTTTGCAAAGTTACCATCGGCTCAACCCTTACGTCCTGCGTGGATGTACGGCCGAGATTTATTTTCATACCATCTTCCCGTTTACCTTCTAGCTGCACCTGTTTGTTCCATGTACGTATGTAATAGTATCTGACAAGGGACAGTTAAATTGAAAGTGATCGCATCAGCAGCTATCATTGTGAAGTGCTTCGACTATATTGTTTGTAGAACAACAACCTACTGCAATGAGAACCGTGCACGAGAGGAAGGATAAACCCAGAAAATTCCGTAGTATATGAACGTCGAGGCGAATGGGTTAACGATAGGATTTTTAACGAGGACAGTCAAAGTTCTGAAACGCATCTGAGACTCGACGCCAACCAACCACAACCCATCCACCTATTGCTTCTAGCAGGATCTTACGGTCGTCCATAGAATACTGGCCCGGGGGGTTCGTGGTTCATCACATTTGTCTTCATGATAGTGTATGTCAAACAAGCTTGATTTTTGTCTGCGCCATATGGTGTATGGATACTGTCACAGGATTGGATCTGCTACAGTGATTGAAGACGTATCGAGTTATATAGCTGTTTGTTCTGTCACACGGGTGTGATTGAATATAGTTCGCAATCGGTTTAGTCCTGCTCGGGCAGTACGGCTGCTTTAACGTATCTCATAGACAGAGTGCAGCAGGAGCAAAGGACAGCCAAGGAGAGTAGTAGTAAAATAATAGCTGGCAACAGCATCACGGCAGGCTCTGAGATCTAAAAATGAGATTTGGCTTCCTTCTCACATGGCCATAGCTTCCGACCTTGAAAAATTCCCTACCAGAAAAAAGTTGTATCAGAATCGTACATATCAGAAACACTTTGGTTTAGAACCTAATCTAGTAATTAACTGACCTGGAGCGGTGCGGGTTTGCCAAAGCAGTGGGCAGGTCGTGCCGGCAGAACCTTTCGAATGGATATCTATGCGACTCCTTGTCACCATCGACAGTTTTTCTCTTCATTCTTCAAAGCCCATCTTTGGATTCTAGTCAGAGCAACTGAATAGAAACAGTTTATTATTCGTTTGTGGGGTCACTACCACTAGGTGACATTTTGGTCCATTTCTCATCCTTTTTGCAATAATTGTAAGTACATGTATACTGTTTGTAGGCTATGTCAGATGCCGTAGAAGGGAAAACAGCGCCTGGGCTGGTTACACACCTATGCGACGTCTTGATTCAGTTCCAGGAGAAGACCAGGTTTCTTTCTCTTTGGGAGGGGTGTTGGGAATCCTACCTATAGGTTACAGGGCTTTTAACCAAAGTCCTTTATTCAATATAGACACATGGACGGCACATGCTGACAAATGGTGAGAAAATTGGGTCAGGCTATTCTTTGTTCCATAAACACATATTGAGGTTCATGTTGCTTCTGACTCTTGGAAGACAAAAAAGGCCCTTCAAACAGGCTCTCTGTTTCATATGCAGCTCCCCGCAGGCTTGGAAGCTTTCTATCCGTATATATGGACTAGCATAAATAAAAGGAGAAAGAGACAGGAACATAAGTTATATAACCTCACCCATCTATTACTTACTATTGTAGGAACCGCAAAGGCCAGGGCATAGATTCCTCCTTTGCCATCAGTTGCAGGATAAATCCCTGAGCTTATATTCATGTTCATCATATTGGCATCTCAACCAAGCTTCTAGACCCCCGATAGTAACAACAAAAGGGACAATGACCTCTGTCATTGGTGACACAAGAACTCTCTCCTATTTACCTCCTACATTACGTCTGTCGAATCGTGGGAATGGCCAGCAGTCGAGTCATGCATCAAGGGCTCCACCACCCACCCCTGTCAAGCCCCAAAGCACTTTCAAGTCCATCAGGAAACGAATTCCATATGCCCCTCCTTTTGGCACAAAGACCGACCCCACATCTGAATCCTCAGACAAACTGATAAAAACTGACAGGGCTGCTCTCCTCAATCATGACCAGTGCAAGCAAGCAACAGCCAAGACCAAAGAACTTTTGCAGGTGCACAGCATGGATCCTCAGCAGGATGCCATCAACCGCATCCTTACAGGAGTTGAATCAATCCAAACCCTAACAAGGGAGACCGTGGAGGCTCTACAAAACACGATTGTTGGAAGGGTCGCAATTAACAAGTTCAAGGTACGTAATGAATGATCTCAGATCAGGGAAAGATTTCAGACTAAATAGATGCCTAAGGTGCAACAAGAGGAATTTACAATCTGGAGTAATAAGCACGACCTATGCGGCATTGAATATGACGCCCACCTTGAAAGCATTATCATCAAGGCGCGACAAGGCCCTGTGCATGGAGAGACAATTGATGCCATTCGTGATTGGTTTAGAAAGATAATAGGCAAGGTTCACCAAGAAGATGGCGTGAATCTAAAGACCTATCAGCACAAAAGTGAGGAGCAGATTCCACCAGGATAATATGATCAATCCAATATAGCTACTAACATGTTCAACCAGCTTTCTGTCTTACCAGCGGGAAATATCGAGGCAGTCTCAAGGCTCCCGACAGTTCTATCGAGGACGATGAATCCTTTCTTCCCTTGATAGTTCTTGAAGTTGCTTTCTCAACCACCAGGAAAGACCTGCTCGAAGATGCAAAGGCCTGGTTATATGGAACTGACAACATCACTGAGCTGGTTATCGCAATTGATATTAAGGAGCAAGGTGGTAAAAACAACAACGACACTGACAACAAAGAAGACTCGTTTTGGGCTTATCAGACTCAGAGATTCTTCAACGTTTCGCGACTGATGATGCCCTCGCCGCCCATATTGTCAGATGGGACCAGGATCATGGAAACTGTTTGCTCGTGGGAACCTTTGCAGCTGAAATGTGGTTCTGCACCAGGGAAACATGCCATCCAGACTCAACGCAACTTCCTCCCTCCTTGTGGACTTATGTATTCTCCCTCAGCAAACCTCTTCAAGAAGGCAAGTTTATCAAACCCTTGCAGGGCCAGGGCACTCAGTCCCTGAGCAAAAACTTCCGTCTGAAATTTTGCGAGCTTGAAGATAAGCTGCCTCTGGAAGCACTAGAGCGTCAACTGAGAGATTCTCTTAAAAATTATCGAAAAGACAGAGCTTTAATTCAGGCATGCAAAAGGCGCAAGGCTCTGGAGGAAGAGGCAGAGGTAAGGAGAAAGCAAAAGGAAGACCGAAAGCGAAAACAACAGGACCATCAAGAATCTGCTCAAACAGTGCGGGCTGAAAAAGCAGAAAAACGGCAGAAGAGAGAAGAAGAAGAAGAAGATCTGATTGCTCAAAAAGGAAGGAGAGGGCAAAAAATGGGAAAATTTTATTGATGTTTCTTATGTCGCTTGTTCTAACTTTTGCCCTATGTCTAAAGGTTAAATGACCAATGAAAAAAAAACGATTTTGATCAGTGGTCTTTAAAATCTTTGGAGATTATGATTGATATCCTTAGTTAGAACTGATATTCTGTCAATACATACTTTAACTGTGTACAAAAAACTCTAAGGGACATTGTTGTTTCTTTTATTTTTTTTTGTTATTGTTGTTATCGATGTAATTTCTATAGGCATTTATATAATAAAAATAAAAATACAGGAGTTGTAGAATTTCAAGACCATCTACAGCTTGTCAAGAAGTGCCTAGGAAAATCGTGTGTATTGTATTTGTTCCGCTCAATCTGTGACAGCGGGGGGTGACCCAGCCCTGTTACGTGTTCCTTTCCTAATTAGGAAAGGGTTTGGTTTCATTGTTGTTTCAGTTCTACAGATATCGAACGCCTCTTCAGGCCCTTATAGTTCTCCTCTCCTTTTTCTTTTCCCCAGCTTCGAATCTTAGTTAGATGTCTGCCAATATGATTTCATCCATTTTGACTGAGCCGTGACACAATCATAGACTGATAATTATATAATAATATAGTGGGAGAACTATTAAAATCGGGAGGTTGGTATTGTACTAAGTGCTTTAATATACTGCATATATATACCAATCTTCCTATAAGATAATTGCATAAATCATCCTAAGAAGCTAGCTTTCTCTTTGATCTTATGGAGAGAGCCAAGGGAAGATCCAGCTTATGAGAAGTATATATGGGAGCAGTGCGGGGGAGGGAGAGCCAGGCGGCAGCAAAGCAGCAAGCGCAGGAGTTCCAGTCACATGGGCAGTCGAATCCAGCGCGTTAACCCTGATGTAGGTAGTGTGACAGCACCGTGTCTTACCATTCGATCATCCATTTTGTCTTCGTCCATCATCTTCCATCTCCGTTTGCAACGAGAAGCCGCTCATGCTTCCTTACTTCTGTACTTTTCGGACCTTGATTTTCATATCTTTTTTTTTCTAATGCCTCGATCCTCGATTCACGGTACCTACTCCTTATAAAGCCTGTGTAATTATCAAGCGCTTTCGTCTCATACAAGGAGTCTGCGTCTGTTCGCTCTAGAATACGACCCAGACCTGTCCACCCTATCTGTTTCTCCGGCTAAGGGCATTTTGCTTCACGTACGTCAGGCAGCGCACTGCAAACTCGTTTCTTTCCAGTAATATATCTTCTTCCACAAGAGATTTACATACAGGCAAACCGCAACGCATAGACAATGGAATCGCAACAACAACGACAACGATACAGTTGCAGAACGACCAGATCAACTTGTCGAACGAACCCGACGAGATTCTTTCTGCTCTGTTGCTGGTCTCTTGGCCTCCTAATTTGTTGTTCCTCAGTAGCAATAGCGACTGCCTCATCTGAGGTGAATGCGGCTTTGATGGAGGGGCACATAATAGGTCCTATGGGAATAGTGCATGTAGCACGGCGGGGAGCGGAGGAGCAACAGAATTTTCAGGTTAGCAGTTATGCCCTTCAGAGAATAGAACTTTCATTTCTTGAAGAATATCACTGATTCATGATGTTTGCAGCAATTCACCGGGAGCTTGGGTGCGCCGCCGCCTGCGGTATGTTTCTATCATCTATTTAACTATCGTCACACTTGATTTTGATGAGAGGCAACTCTTTCTCCGTTCCAATACCTGACGAAGTACTCTTTACCCAATTAGGTGACATCAACGGGAGATTCTACGAGGCCGTTTGGAGTGGAGGGAGATACGTTTGTGAGTTGGATTACTGAGCCCTTTCTATCCGAGTGACTGCTGCTGATATTCATCATTCCTGCAGACTAATTTCCAAGACGCTGGACAACGAAGGTCGGTTTGATTGCCGTCTCTTATGATTCATCTATTCCAGAGGCCAGAGTGGAAGGACAGCAACCTGGTTTTGTGACTCGGGGACTAATCGTCGTTCATCCACAGTTGCAACATGCAATTCAATACCTGTCAGCAGGTGAGACAATTCGCGGTGGAGACTGCCATCGCTCGTCAGTCTGACATGACAATTTAATACAGGAAGCGAATAGCAATAAGTCAGTTGGGTTCACCGTCAAGAACTGCCAGAGTCAGCAGAGTGAGTAAACAGGAAAAGCAACTCGACTTAGTCGCTTCTAATTCGCATTTGCTGACTTCCAATTCAAAGACGACTGCCTTAAAGTACAGCAAAGTGCACAGGTTAAGGTCCAAGCGTCCGTTGCGTCTTCGTCTTCGTCCTCATCCGCTTCGTCATCTGAGACGACCAGCAGCTCAAGTACGAGCACGAGTACGAGCACCACCACCGCTGCCTCGACGTCTACCTCAAGTTCGAGCACAAGTACCAGTTCAAGCACGAGTATCACAAGCACAGACACAATCACCAGTTTTAGCACCAGCACCAGTACCGCGGCCGTGGCTCACACGACGATGTTCGAGGATCAGTTTGTCTTGATTTGTGATCTATAGGTCAGCGGTCAGGCGAGAGCGTACTCCATTGAATCCTGTTGTATTAGACTCAAGGAGTCATCACATAATAATCATCATCCCTGTCTTGTATTGATGATTGATTGACCATATGTCAATATATACTACATTTAATATAATGCACATACCTCGTTTAAATAAAAACAGTCGAAGTTCGAATAGACATAAATGCTATCTGAGTAATATTCGAACTAATTCTGTTTTCTCTACCTAGGTATAATAGATGTATCTACGATGAGAACCTTAAGAGCATGAATAAACGAATCTGCGATCATTCATAAGACCAGACGTCTGGTCGAGAACTTGCCTGCCTCAGGAACGCAATATGCGCGAAAGCGGTTAGCGTGGCGCGTGACGGTGTCGGACTAGCCACACCGTCCCCTGCATGGGCCATGCAGATAGCAATCGCCCGCTGCCGCCTGCGTATCATATCAGCCTTTCTATCGCGCGTCACTGTCGCGCACCCCAGCCACCACGCGCGCGACTCGATTCAGGCATGTCCTGATGACGGTCAGCACACACACATCCCATCCATTATTGCTACTAATTAGGTTGTGATGGTTGTTATTTCTTGAGTTTCTCCTGCAGGAATTTCGAGTCTCTGTTAGCAAACTCCTATTTGATTTCCACTGCCGGCTCCTTCAAGAGATCAATCAGCCCACCAATAATCCTAATCTACTGCACCACTGCCTACAACGACTGCATCTACCATGCTCGAAACACTCCCTCAACACCATCAACATCCGCAGCAATTACAACAGCAACAACAGCAGCAAAGTACTTTCTTTCGAAACATCACCGCTGAATCCTACTACCTGCCCCACGCTCCAGCGCGTCAGTCCCCGTTGGGCTCTCGCAATGCCAACGTCACTCCGACGACGACCATCCTGGCTTCCTCTTCTTCGCGCTGTTCGTCTTTGTCCACGTCGGGGATGACGATGCCGACGATGACGACCCAAAAAGATGTCTCAGGAGAAAGGACAGACAAAAGCAATAACCATAACCATAACAATAATAATGCCTTGTCGCTGTTCTCGGGAAACGAGAACAACAGCTCGCAACAGCAACAGACGAGATTATCTCCCTTTTCATTTTCGTCCGAAACAGAAACAACCGCCCAGAAAAGGACTTCATCCTTCGAGCAGCGCTACAAGTCTAGAATCTCCAACCCATTGAACAGGATCTTCAGTTCCAGTTCCAGTTTCAGTTCCGGAGAAAATGGCCGCCGCGGCGGGGCGTTATCGTCGCTATCCGCCCGCGCCGCTGCCAAACAGCGCGACCTGTTCCTGAACAAAATGAAGCGGGATCGGGACGAGGGCCTATTCAACGCGCGGGGCGAGCAGCTGATGCGGATGGAGTGCCTGACGGAGCAGAAACAGTGGGGAGAGGCGATGCGGCGGGACGCTGAGGGGTTGTTCCAGCAGTACCATCTAGATGAAGTAGCGGCAGAGGGGGAGGAAGAGATGGTTGAAGGTATGTTACAGTTACATAACAACAACAAAAACTGCTTATAAACCATCTTTCTCCTTTCCCCCTCCGGACGACTATGGCTAATTAATGATGATGATGCAAACAACAGACTCCGATCAGCACGCCCTAGACGAATTCCTCTCCCAAGAGCAAGAGATGGAAGAAGCCCTCCTCGAGAACATCATTCCCAGCTCCAACGACGACCATCATCATCATCACCACGATAGTAGTCGCAATAGTAATAATAACAATAATTATCCGCCTCCTCCTCCTCCTCCTCCTCCTCCTCCTCCTCAGGCCATCATGTCATCGCCCTCACGACGGAGCGACCGCTCCTCTTTCTACGGTGATGACGACGTCGACTACGATGCCATCTTTAGGGATCTCGTCGATAATGAGCATCAGAGTCACAGTCACAGTCAAGCCCCGAGTCAGGACATGGACATGACTGGATAGATACAGAGGGATAGAATTGTCGTCCGGGGTTTGTTACATACCTTTTTTTTTCTTTCTTTTTACAAGGACTAGATAGAATGTTCGGTTCGGCGTTGTTTGTTTAGGGTTGGGTTGGGTTGGACTGGGATTGATTTTTTTTTCCAACTATACACTGCTCTAATCGAGGTCGAAACACGTGGATGAGCATTGATTGATTGATTGTCATCTCATTTGTCCCGGTAGATATTTTCGGCCGGCAGGGGGGTATCCAAACTGAATTATGTACATACATACATGCATGCATACATAAATGATACATGTCAAACAGGATAAAAACAGGATAAGTTCTGTGTGTATATATTGATGAAGGAAAAACAGGGGGAAAAAAAAGATGAGGTGAGGTAGGCAACTGGTTATGTGCTAGGTCAAGTCATCGCCATGGGTCGATGTCGTCGACATGGTTCAAATCAAATCCCAAGTGTCAAACGATTATGTATGTCTAGGCCACCTGTCAAGGTGACCACGTCAGGCCAAAATTCATCCACATTCTACTGCTGTGGACAGTCTGGAGGTGCCTGTCCATCTCCAGCTGTGCCCTTCAGCTCTTCCATGAGTGGATTGGCGATGAGATCGTCGGGCGGACTTCCGGCAGCTTGCATCTGTGGACAGAAAATGTAGTCAGCGACTGTTGTCAAAACCAAAACGTTGGTAAGAAAGATAAAGGCTCTATCTACCTCTTGCATCCGGTCCCAAATATACGCCCGACACTCCGGCTTGTCGTCCGAATATCCCTCCTCCTCAAACTTGGCCACGATTTCCCTGACGACCCGCGCCTGGGTCTCGTACCGGGCCAGATCCTCGGCCGACACCTTGGTTCGGTTCTCCTCCAGCCAGGGGCCAAACTTGCTGTGCAGCTCCTTCATCGGCTCGTACAGCATCTCCTTGTTCGAGAGCTGCTCCATCATTCCCATGAACATCTTGTTCAGATCCATGTCCTCGCCGCCCGCAGCGGCTCCCGCCTCCACAGCCTTGAGAAGCTGCG